GAACGGTTGATATAAATTAACACATGTGAATAGGGGAAGTGTTAGCAATAATGATAATTTGTTTTAATATCGTTAATGTTTTACCTTTTTTTGTTTACCAATTGCTGCAGTGATTGAATTTAAGTAACATTCAGAATATGGAATTTTCATTAATTTTTCCTTAGATAGAGCATTTCTATTATCACTCAATGCTTCATTAATCATATCATCTATGTATGTATTATATACTCCTGCTAATTCTTCATAAGGAGTGGATGAATTTAAATCCATTTAATCAAAAATAAATTTATAATTTTAAACATTTCTATTCATCAATATTTCATCATATGAACTTCTATACTGTGGTGGTGTACCTGTTGGATGATATTTCAAACCTTCATCCGGTGTCCATGTCCAATATGTAGTCCTAGTAAACCAAACCTGAGGAGGATTTGTCACCTTTGAACAGTAAGTGTCATTTTCACCCTGAATGATTGGATAAGCTTTCACTTGTACTGTAACTTGTGAGTTGAAAGTTTCTAATCCATCAAAGAATATACCCGCTCCATCACGTTGAACTGGAATAGTGCATAAGAATGAAGTTTGGTCTTTCCATGTTCTAGCTAATGGCGTGCCATCATCTGCATTCAGTGGTCTAGTTAATGAGTCCTCGTATTCTTCTGTGCATTCATTCACTCCATCTAAATCAGAAGCTTGAAGCATACGTGTAAAGAATATGTCACCCACTGTGGTCATCGCTTGATCGGGAAGTTTCTGGAATCTATAGTGACCTGAAGACCTCGAAGCATTGGATTTTCTAAAACTGTTCTTTGCATTGCATTCTTCGGAAATGTTAACACAACATCTGTAACATTATGAAGAGCGTATGAGAAATCTGAGCTAATACCTTCAGGAGTGATGCAACCTCCATTTAGTGAACGAACGTCAATATGTTGAGCTGGAATCATGAATGGATCTTCCTTACTGAATAAACGTGGTATTGCTTTAACTGATTCTTCAATTAAACCGTATCCTGGTGTAATGCATTTATCCTCTAAAACTTCCATCTTTGTGCATGAAATAATAACGTCATCAACTGTTGCGTCAGCAGATGTAGCGGCTAAGCTTGTAATTAATTTGGCAGGAAGTCCGATTTGTTGGAATTTGCGATCATATTTATAAACATGATTCATAATCTTTTCATAATTTTCATCAGTTATCTTTTCATAAACGTAATTTTGTAAATCAGCAACTCTTAACGGGTCAACCTGACAAAATACTAAAGTATCCCTGAAAACATAATATTTAAGAATGATATCACCAAATGATTTAGGATAATCATCGAACGCCTGAAATGCTAACAAATCATTTACCGGAATAATCATATCAAAAGTGACATCAACTTCTTCATTTGCTTTCTGAAAACTTCTGAAGGGTCAATATATTTACCACATACTGAGTTATCATATTTTTGAACATTATTATATAACGAATGAACAAACTTTTTAACTTTCCTTTCTGATTTCGGTTTATATGTTGCAAATGCGAAAGATTCACGGGCGCAATCCATCTGAAGATAACCGGCATCACCTCTTTCGGTTTCTACTTCTAATTGTTTAAAGCTTTGATTTGATGATTTGTAACCAACGAATAAACGCATGCATTTAAAAGCGGCATCACATGTGAAAGCTTTATTTGAAACTAGAGTTGCTTTAAACTTTGCGTTTAATATATGTGTTCACCTAATTGGTTCACATCATGCCGGATTTGTAATTAATGAGTTTGTTTATCATCAAATATGGAGCAATGAGTCATAGCATGAACTTTCAAGTTCTCTATAATAATATCCCCGTCATTCTTTGCGAATATTTCATTTATCTTTCGAATGAATGAAACACATTTCCATTAATCGGTTTAGTGTTTGGCACCAAATAGTTAGTCGTCATTTATTAATAAATAAAAAATCAAAATTAAAAGATGAAAATGAATTTTTAATTTTAATGAAATAATCAACTATGGCTGCAGGTATATTTAAGAAACTGTGGGATAGAGTAAAAAGAGGAGCGAGTAAAGTTTGGGAAACATTGGAAGAAGGGGGCAAATTGGATATTTAAGAATAAAGAAGCAATTAGTGACGTTGCTGAATATCAATAACGCCAAAAGCTGCCCCAATAAGAGAAGTTTTAAATAAAGGAAAAAAGTTTATCAAAGACTACAACCGATACTAAGATAAAAATAATATTTATTTATTTTTCCACTATCTACCTCCTATTTTATTAAGTATTCCTTCAGCAATTCCACCAATTGCGTTACCTGCTTGTGCTCCCATCGCCGGATTACCTGCTTTAGTACCTAATACCCCACCTATGATAGTTCCTGCCGTTTTCGCTACTGGTGCCAAAAAGTTTGCTACAGGTTTAATAATCTTTTTATAAACCCAACCCGCAGCTTTCTTAATTCCATCCCATAATTTTTTAAAGAATCCTGCCGCCATTTCTGATTTAATATTAATTAAAAAAATATATTTCATCACTTATATTCTAATTTTTATTTAATGATAAATGAAACCGATTTTAAAAATAAATGAAACAGAGGAGGAAGAAATAAATGAAAGTGAAAATGTTCAACAAAAAATAAACGTTGTTAAACCAATTACTGAAATAAAAATTTTTTCATCTGTTGAAGAATTTAATGACTATTATGTCAATAATAAAATTATTTGAAGAATTGACAACGTGTAAATTGAATAAAATGTTTAAAGTTGATGGATTCAAAATTTCAAAAATAAAAGGAGTGGTTAGTTTGAAATCTATTCCTCAATCAAGAATCACCTCGTTAATGAAAATAGATGATTTAACAAAAAGAATAGAAGAGATTGAAGAAAGAATGAATCAAATAATTGATTTCATAAATTCAAATAATCATTAGTTTCTTAAAGTTCAATGTTGAACTCATCAAATTCTTCTTCATCATTACCATTACCTTTAGCGAGTTTATTTACTCTTTCAACTTTATCTTTTGATAGTCTTTCGTTTAATTTTTTCTGAAGTTTTTCGTTACCAAGTTCTAAAATTTTACATGGATGATATTTAAACCCGTTAAATTCTTTTTCCTCAGTTTTAATCATTAATCTACAAAGAACTTTAGTGAGGTGGTTTTGTTGTTTAAACCATTTATCCTTAATATTTGTTATAAATTCAATATCCGGAATTAATTCCCAAATTTTTGAATTTTCGATTAATTTACCATCAAATGCAAAAGCAATAGGTTTAATATTAAACTTACCTTTATAAAATAAACTTTGTATGTAATCATCAAAATAAACGTCTACTTGTTTAACCTGTGTGAGAATTGGTGAAAGTTTATCCATTAATTGATTCACAGTCACGAATTTAGAGCTGTTCATTTCATACAAAATAATAAAATAAAATAATAAACATAACTAAGTTTTAATTTTTCGTAAGAAGTTTATTTTTTAAAAATTTTTTTATTTTTTATTTCATTATGGTAGTGAATCTTTTATTCATGAAAATAATTATTTCTAATTTTTTTACTCTCTCGTACATACTAGATTTGAAGAATTCAGAACATTTCCCATAATCTCCTAAATGTTTTCTTATCTTATTGGTTTTCCATTCATTATATGAAACTGTATAAACTTTATCTTTATCTTTACACCTTTCATCACTTCCAATATATTTATATTTCAATTTTGATTTATTGGTTTCATATTCATTAACGTTTAATAATTCACAGTCTTCCTTTTTAAATATGTTTTATGTATTCAGGATTAACAATTTTATAATATTGCTTCCCTTTAAATCTTTGAATATAAACAGGAACACCATCCTCTAAAATTCGATAATCTATTTTATCTGGTTTTACTTGTTGGGTCATTTATGTAAGAATAAAAAAATAAATTATTTTAAAAATAACTTTAATTTTTTTAATGGTTTATAAATCAATATATTTTAATGCATCGTCTATATATAGATGTAACAAAAAAAGTCACAAAACCCATCATATCCTACTACTTCCAATGATTTTTGCATCTTTCAACCCAATATTCATCTTTGCAAGCTTTTCATCCATAATCTTCACGCTTACAACCAAGATAACAATTCTCACTCGAAACATCTCCCTCATTTTGATTTTTGAAAACCAGACATGAAACACATGAAATATGAGCTTAGATAACTCACTTGTCAAGTTCAAATATGAATAAACTTATCGACACTAAACAACAATATATAGCATTTCTAAATTGGGGTGGATCAAATTATCTGATATTTTGAGGGTATTTGTAAATTCTATCGTACTATTTTGTGAGAATTAAAATATTTTAGCCATTGTGACAAAAAAAAGTAGCTGATAATAAAAACGGCTCAAAGGTATTTTATTGTTTTCATGCACATTTTAAAAATTATCATAAGATCAGCATCTGAACCCGTCAGCAATTTTTGAACCCGAAAAATTTGGAAACATTAAACTACTTTTCATATTCATCGCGTCTATTCAATTTGCAATTGCCAGATTTTAATGGAAGCCTCGGAGAGAAAGGTATAGGAAAAATTAAGTATCGTGGGGTTTCATGCCATGTAAAATCTTCTTTTGTTGCCAGTGTCATTAACTCTACATGGTATTTGCCAGTAAATGCCATGTAAAACTCTCAAAAGTGTATTCCCTTATGGCTGATTGAAAACTCACCAACGTCATCTATATATGAGGTCGATGAAAAATTGAGCGTTTTTTAAAAACCGCTGTTTGAGAGGAAAATTGAGAGCCCCGATGTATACTTTTTGACATTGTCAAAATCTTTGAAAGGACCAAAAAAATTTTTAGTGTCAGATAGTTTACAAATGTATACTTTCTGACGAACAGACTCTCAGACAGCGGTTTTTAATTTCTGCACTTTTTTGGCGACATTATACTGGAGCTGGAAAACCTCGAGTTTGTTCCAAAATAACAGGTTTGAAGACCCACTGTATATATATAAAAAAAGAGAAGAAAATTGTTTATTATTAAATACGGAATTTGGAAGCGTTCTGTAAGATATCGTTTGCCTTTCTTAGTGCCACCAAAGTATCCTGGCACTTCTTTCTGTTCTTTGTGATATTGGGGTCCTCGCGCATTATCTCGCTTGCCATTCCAGACGTGAGAATCTTCTTGAGGAGTGTCTCGTTCAGTGTCTTTGAAGAACCCTCTACGAGCATCATGATGACTGCCTTTGGAATGACATCGACAATCTGTGTCTTGACGAGTTCGAAGTACCTTGAAGCGAGCATTACGAGTGTCTTTGTGACATCTTCGGCCATTTCCCTCTCTGTCTTCTTTGTTGGTGCGTTATCTCTGTTCTGACGCTCTGCAATGATGGCTGCACCTCTGAAATCGTGTCTGGCGGTGTTAATGAAGAGTAATTCGTTGTCCATGACATCGTTGACGAACTGTACTGTTGGTTCTACGCATGAGTTCACGAGATCTTCAACGACATTGCGGATTGCGTCCTTCATTTGTGGGTATTTCTCGAGTTCAGGGAATATAACGTTGGCATGGATCTGGAGAATTTCGTTAGCGACAAGAGTAATGGCTTTGAGGGCTGGTGGTCGGAGATTTTCGATCCATCTGCGGATTAATGACTCAAATGCCTGATGAGGAACGAAAAGTGGGGATCTGACACCGGATTGGTTAAGAATGAGGTTGTAGACGTCTTTAAGATCGAGAGTAGACATGGATGGGATCTCGGCGATCATTGTTTCGTACTTATCTTGGAAAATACGGTTAATTCTGGCACCACCACGAAGTTCGTTATCGATCTTGTTGCCAACCTTACCGGCAATAAGGTCTTCGTAGCCCTGAACGTATTTCTGAATAATTGTCATGATAAGCTCGTTTGGATTTAATCCGTCCTTCGCTGGATCGTCACCGTAGCGGAGAAGTTCACGCTCTCTATCTTCGATGAGGGAGGCAACACGGGTTTTGAGAGATGGTAAGGATTTCTTGATATGATCGACAAGAAGTCTGTTGAGAGTATTCGCCAAGACTTTGGTAGTGCATTTTTCGGTCATGTGCTTGTAAACTGGGTGCTTTTCGAAGAATTCAAGCTCTGCTCTCTGTGCATCCTTCATTGGACGATTATTATCGATATCACGCTGAGAACGGTTAACGACAGCGATGTAACCGAGCTTAAGGGGCTTAACCTCACCTCTAAGGATGGCTCCGCAGTCTGTACCTGCGTCCATGAGATCAACTTTTGTTAAGACACCAATTGTACGGTCGCCGGCAGGATCAACTTGAGAGGCGAGAAGTAATGAGTCTGAGTTTGCAAGATCTTGGTTGGCAGGTGTAACAGCAAGGATTAATGAAGAAGGTTTCATTGCGAACTGCATAACCATGCCGTGAATCATCTCTACAACGGATTTGTCTTGGTCAGCAACAGCAACCTTTGTTAAACCTGGAAGATCGACCATTGTAAGATTTGGTACAGAAGAATCGCGAATGCAAAGATTGATTGGTTGGCTCGATACATTTTTATTGCTGCCTGTTGATCTGTCTGTTTCTGCTTGAATTTCTGTTCTGATATCTGAGAAGTTCTTGAATTTCTTGCCCGGCAAATGTAAAAATTCTCCATATTGCTCATCATTTGGACCAACGTGAACAAGCTGAAGTACAAGTGGTCTTCTTGTGACGATGCCTGCACCACGTGGAAGGAAATCACGTCCGACGATTGCTTCTAAAACTGAGGACTTTCCTGAGCTTTGACAACCGACGACAATGATTTGTGGTAGATCAACAAGGTCACCACCAGCAGTGTTGAAAACATTCTGGAGGTCGTTGATCAGAGGAATTACGGCATCCATATCTTAAATTTTTTTTAATCGGTTGTTCTCAATTTATTCTTTTTTTTTAGGCAATGGGATTATAAAATGACATTGCATTTGAAGATATTTGAGTTTAATAAAGTAATAATAAATTAGATGCTTATAATAGTGGATGATGATATAAGCTGTTTTTTGAATTTTAGAAAAAATATCAAATATTTGGTACTAATTATACTTAAATTGTTATTCATGCTTTTGCAGAAGCTGTGTTTGTCTCGTTTGTAGCAAGATTATTTGTAGTTCATAGCTATTTCTGTAATATATTAACGTTTGACTGAATTTATTATCGATGATGAGACAAAATGAGAGATTTAAATGTAAACGCAAGATATGTCATATGTTTTTACAGTATCATTTTAAAAATTTGGACAATACTTTAAAATATGTTGATTTTAATTCTTAAAAAACGATCATGTTAATATGGTTCAATGTTTATTCATTAGATGTAGTTTAATGTGACGAATTCCTAAAACCATTTAGGCTCACATAATAAAAATTATAAGTAATATGAATTAATACACTGATTTGGAGGTAAACAATGGTAGATATGTTAATTCTAAAGGAACTAACAGTGAATTGCATATTGATTTTAAAGATATAGAAATCGATATCAAAATATGAATTACCATAAAATGTTATTTAGCTTTTTGTTAAAATTTCTTGCGTTATTTCCATTAAAAAAAAAAAAAAAAAAAAAAAAGGTAGTGGGGCTTCCAGGCACTTCGTGCCTTCTAGCCCCGAAGATGTTTAGTATAAATGAAGTTTTTATTCGGAGGGCTTCCAGCCCTAAGAATTTTTCCCAAGACCCAAGAGGAGGACCGAACCCCAGCCGACCAGCCGTTGACTTTTTTGTCATGATTTCATCGTAAATGTTTTGTCAAGACTTCTTCATCGTAAATGTTTTGTCAAGATTTCATCGTAAAGACTTTGTTGAGATTTCTTCGTAAATGTTTTGTCAAGATTTCATCGTAAATGTTTTGTCAAGATTTCATCGTAATGAGCGTAAATGACCCAAAAATATATTTTAGGTGAAGAGGTGAGATTTCACCTGTTTTTTCACCTCATTTTTCACCTCTTGAATTTTCATGAATTTCTTCGTAAAGACTTTGTCAAAACTTCTTCGTAAAGACTTTGTCAAGATTTCTTCGTAAAGACTTTGTCAAAACTTCATCGTAAAGACTTTGTCAAAACTTCATCGTAAAGACTTTGTCAAAACTTCATCGTAAAGACTTTGTCAAAACTTCATCGTAAAGACTTTGTCAAAACTTCATCGTAAAGACTTTGTCAAAACTTCATCGTAAAGACTTTGTCAAGATTTCTTCGTAAACTTTGTCAAGATTTCTTCGTAAAGACTTTGTCAAAACTTC